CTCTACTCTGCTCAGCCTTGGCAGCAGTAGAAGCACAGTGCAACCTGGGCAGTTGGCAGGGGTTTTCTTCCAGGACAAGCACCACATACATCAGGACAGTCACCACACAAAGTCCTTTCTGCCAAGCCAGTAGCCCAAGCAAAAGGGGCTATAAATCCAGCAAGTGCTGGTAGGTATCATGTCTACTGAACATGGGAGGGAACTACTCTGCTCAGCCTTGGCAGCAGTAGAAGCACAGTGCAACCTGGGCAGTTGGCAGGGGTTTTCTTCCAGGACAAGCACCACATACATCAGGACAGTCACCACACAAAGTCCTTTCTGCCAAGCCAGTAGCCCAAGCAAAAGGGGCTATAAATCCAGCAAGTGCTGGTAGGTATCATGTCTACTGAACATGGGAGGGAACTAGGCACCATGCCGCATGTGGAGAACTGAGAGGGGATGTGGAGAGTGCTGACATGGAAAAATAATCCTGTAGGGATATGTGCAAGAGCTGCAGTTGCTGGACTGCTCTGAAGATGATATAGGTTGATGATATGAAAAGCCACAGTCAAATTAAAGACTAACCTAACTTTATGATATTAGGTTTCTTTCAAAATTTATTTCAAAAGCGAAGTGTGCTTGCCCAAGATGCATGCAAATTTTTGTAACCTGCATTTATAGGTTCACGAATTTTACCTTGTACTAAAGGGAAAGTTAAAGCATTTGTTCTTCTAAGGACACACAATGGACAAAAAGTTGTTGCTAACCCTGCATTACACAATTTCACCAGCCCTCATAAGTTCTGTTGCTCTTTCATGCTTTCAACAGGTTTATATCAAAGCTTAATAGCCTTCCATGACAGGAAATATTATCTGGAATAAATATGCCAATACTTCAAAATTCTGCCTAAAGGGGCTAATTTGAAGCATGAAGCATTTGAGTAGGACTATAGAGTACCCCTAGAGATTTACACTATGTATATGAAAATGTCAAAAGAAAACAAGTTAATAACACTACACTGGCAGCAAATGCTAGAGACTCCAATTTAAGTGTTTGATAATATTAACACTGATGTTGTAACTGTTTTTCCATACTGAAGCCATCATTTTCAGCTAGATTCAATACGTAGACGAAGATATGCTTGATAAGTGTTCAGTTTCCATTATTTCTTTAAAACTTTGGTGTTATATCTTGCACTACTGTAACAACGTAATTGCTCACTTCAATGTATTTAAAGACCAACTGACTTCACAAGGACATAGAGTTTTTCAAGCTATTGCAGTGTTCAATTAATTAACAGTTAAAATCTACTTAAATGAATTCAGCTCTTATATTGTGAGTCCTTCAGATTTATACTTCTGGGTACAGCAAGTAGAGAAACACGCAATGAGAGTAACTCATTCACACCTCAAGAATGCAAGAGTTGTTCAATCATTATTGCCTCGATTGCTACAATGATGTTTAATATCATACTATTTTTATATATGGCATTAGTCTCCCATATAGCTGAGTTAAAGACTTCTGTTTCAATTCAGCTATGTTTGCCACCAGTCTGACCCATGCAAGTCAGTAACACAAAGACAATAATCTTTCATCTGCATGGGAAACAATCTGATCTGAGAAAATGTTTGAGGAAATAAAGACTTTTGAGAATTTTTATTAACGCTTGGAGTGAAAAATCACATATCTACATACAGTGCATCCTGGTCAAGAAGGTCATCTCTTCAATGTCCACTGAAACTACTCTCCTGCCTCTACATATAAGGTTTTGTTCAAGTGACAGATGTTGATGGATTATTTTTTTCTTCTAACATTCCCCTGGTTCTAACATAAAGAATAATTTAAAATAAAAGCTACTTACCAATTTTGCAATGTCATTCACATCATCTGTAACTGGATTCCCGCAGGAACTCTGGGCTTTGACAAGAGGATTAAGTAGGAGTAGTTGAAGACAAAAGCAAGTGATAATCCAAGTCTGTTTAGTTAAAAAAAAAAGAAACAAGAAACCCCAAGTAAGCAAATGTAAAACAATGAGACTGTAGTAATTTTTTTCCAAATATGAAGTCTAGATGCAACAATACTCTTGATCTTTCATGAGGATGTACTCATACCACTATAGTACAATCTTCATGGCAGGAATCCACAGAAATGGACTTAATTGATCTTTTCTGGGAGTAAGTATCTTTAGAGTATTAATGGAAAACCTGGTAGTGAGCCATCAGATTACTTGTGTGGGATCCTGCTTACCTGAGTTTCTGAAAAGTTAACAGATACCAAGAAGAGAAAGATACAAACTTTGCAATATTCTTTATCATCAAAATAAAGTTGATTAAATACTTGCCATTCACCTAATAATGTATTTCATAAATCTGTGTCTCTAATGCAATAATGGTTGATAAGGAACAAAATTATACCAGATCACAGCAAGATAAAAAGAGAAAGTTCACAATCACAGACATTACATTTGAGTACTCAAACTGCAAGCAAACCCACAACTGGACTCTGCCCAAATACTGAGATCTCAAGCAGCAATACAGTACATTTTCTCTATGTGGTGTGCCCTGGCTGCTTAGAAGTGCCAGCTTGGCTTTGGCACTACATTCCCCTCCCAAATCCTATTAGAAACAGCAATGCAATGTACTCACACAGGCTTGTGAGACTCAGCCAGAAAAGCACCAGATAACTAGCTGTGATGCACCTGGGTGTCTCCTTGGCTACACTGCCTGAACTTCCTCGCCTTCTGTTGTTCCTTGTGCTTTGCTGGTTTCCCACAGAGCCCTGTGCCAAGTTTAAGCTGCAGATCTTTATTTCCAGAACGTTAAAGATTTAAGCTATGGATAATCAAAAGTTGCCTCGGGTTGTGAAGCTTCTTGTGACAGCTGACTGAAGTTGTCAGCAAAAGCCGATGATGGTGTACATTTACAGCAAGTATGGAATTTGCCTGTGCAGGCTCCTCAGCCTCCATGAGAGCAGGACTGAGACCAGAATTTGCTTTTGCACAAACCAAGATACATCTCAGCCTCATCTATTCCCTGTGGCCGGAAGAGAACTCTTGCCTTGCTTTCAAACGTTACTCAACCTTTCAATTTCATACAACAACATGGATGAAACTCTCCAGGAAAATGAGAGAAAAATCACGGACTAAGAAGATTAAGTATCATTATAGTAACCTAGAGGGGCTAAGAGAGCATGGTAATAATTATCACTCAGCCGCTGCATAATCTTGACAGAAGAGTGCCACACACTTTATCTGGAGCTCTTAAATGACAAGAGTAATCTCCCTTCTGCATCTTGTATCTCTTAAATATTTTATCAATCCTACAAGTAAAACTGCTTATGATACAGCCAAAATGCTCTGTTACAGATGGGACAAGCTAAGACTGCCCATTTCAGTGGAGCCTCCACTCAGCTTTCCCTAAACTACCCTCAGACACCACAGGATATACACAGAAAGAAACTGGAAATAGTCTAAGCAAAGTGCACATTCAGTATGCAACTTGCTTTTTGAGAATGCCTCTTGCTTCAACAAAACCAGCATTTAGAAATACTTTTATTTTAATATTTGTACAAATAATTACTGAACATAATAACCTATGTGAAGAACTGAGAATAATTAATAGTCCTTCTAATAAAACCTCTGTATCTTATGCTATACAAAGCTTTGCAGTTAAGCACATATGAACAATTCAAGTTCTGGGGAGATGCAATGAAAATGTTGCTAGTCTCTGGAAGGACTTTTAAGAGCTCCTTGCAGTGTGTAAGAGCTCAAAGCTGTTTAATAACTAGCATGAAGTGGTCAGAGAAACATCTCCCGTTCCTCACATAAGCTCCAGAAGTACAGAGGAAAGCAAAGGGGGACCTCAAGTTAACAGACTACCTCTCCCCATCACAATTTTTGAAACTAAATTATAAAAAAGGCAAGAAGTTAAGACAACTAGCTCCAAAATTAATTAACTATACTGTTTAAAAAAAGTAGTTAAAAGCTGGTTCTGCCTTCAGACTTAAACATTACACTAGCAGTTACACTTGACGGAGGTTCAGGGATTTTCCTTGACATGTTTGTTGGAAATGGAGTCCACACTAGAAATCAACAATTTCTTTATTGGGTTCCTCAGTATTGACTAGTACGTAAAGATAGGATTTGTTCACTGACTTGTATCATAGTCATAGGATGATGTTTAACCTGGGAGTCTAATAAACAAAAATGTAACAAAACTTTTAAACTAAAAATACTTTTTCACCAGATCAACTGAGTAATATTAATAAAAGCAGTAGCATACTCCAAATAAAACCAGAACTTTGATGCAACTTGTCAATTTTCATACTTCTGAATCTAAAGACAACCCATACATAAAGCTTAAAATAACTACACATTTTATAATTACACAAAACAGTAAGAATACACTTTTCCCCCCCTTATGTAAATAATGGGATTTAGAAGCATAGTAATTTTTATAACTGCTATTAAACCAAATGATTTGTAAATTTTGAGATTATTTGAGGTTTTTCTTGCTTATTTGCTCCCTGGGTCATCCAACAGGAACTGAAAATCTTCAAAATACTGCTAGTTTCAACAAGTCTATCATCCAAAATCTTTTAATTATTTGCACTTACAAAATATTTATATTACACATGCCTTCAGGCACATTGTATGTAAGGACTGTACAGATCAAAGAGCTAAGCTGTTTTTGTGTTATTTACTAATGACCAAACCTGCTGTTTGAGCAAAACTTGAATAGACTGAATTAAATCAAGGACAGAACAAAAGGGAACCTTAAACAATAGTTTCATAAATAGAGATTCCAGTTTTATACTTTACTAAGCATAAATAAAACTTACCCACACAGCACTCATAACAGATTTCCATATATAATTACTTCTGAGTTAACATGGAATTTTTCAAAGCTGGCCTCAGGATTTAATCACACATCATTTACTAGCATTAAACTGAAGACATATAGCAGACAGGAGGCAGACCTGTATACCAAAGGGCCCCTTCCAATTTCTGGCTCAAAAATTATTCAGTTGTTTTTAAATTCTGAAATCTCTTAAATACTGAATATTTAAGTTGTTGAAAGTGAAAAAATCATGATTAGACCGAAAAGGATAAGTAAAATTAAAGATTTCAAGTATACATTTGATTATTCTGCAAATGATTTGCACTATTACTTGTAAGCCACAATCTAGAATTTTAGTTAACAGCTCTTTAGAGGCTCAGCTAGTGATCCAATGTGTTGAAGGCCACCCCTTCAGCTGTAAATCAACAACATTTCCATTTATGTTCTTCATGTATGATCTGAAGTGTTGGCAAAGGCTGTTGATTGAGTGGCATAGCAGCTCTTTCACAGTATGCTATCATGTTGGTTAATGTTCAGCTAATTCAGTGGAAAGCAGCAAGGGGAATACCACATTGCTAAATAAGCCAAACATTGGAAAGTCTGGACATTTCCCAATATCTAGTTTGTCCTGATAATAATTCTAATCACAGATAGGGACAAATCATTTAAAAAGTCCCCAACAAACAAAAAATAACAAACAGCAAAAAAACTCCATTAAGCTCTAGGAGAAGTATTAACTGCACGGATTAATGGGTTCTCCACTATAAAATGTCTTGCATTCAAATCATATTAGCCACAGAAGTTTTCAGCACAGTTTCCTGAGCAAATCATCCAATTAGCCACAAGCAACCCACAGCTGCAGTAGGGCTAGCTGACAATGTGGACCAATATTCACCCTGGGCCAGGCTTCCCAAGTTTATTTTTCACTTCTGTTAATGCTGGGGTAGGAATATCTATCAGTATCAGCTTCTCAGGCAGTGTTCACATGCTGCTTTGCTGAGGCACAGCTCGTGCCACAGACAAAATTGGTTGGTCAGTCATGGTTCGCTAACTTAATATTCATACTTATACCTTGATAATCCTTTTGTAAGAAGAGTCAGAGAAAATGAAAATATCAAATAAAAATACTTCTCATCCTTTTTTTTTTTTTTTTTTTAAAGCACAAAGCATGCAGATGCTTAAAAGCACAGTAATTCTTCCCTATGTCTACAGATCTATTCAGTTATTTTGCTGTGGTAGAGATAATTAATGTCATGGAAGAACTGCCTTTAATCAATTAAGAAATGAACTGTCAGCATGCAATAATCTTAAAATGAAGGAAGAGCATTTATACAGAATACAATGCAATTCTCATTTTCATGCTTTCACACCTGCAAATGACAGTGCTAACTTTAGTATTCCCCAAACGGCTTTGCCTATGCTGAAGTCCTAAACAAGTGAGTTAAGTGTGGAAAAACAAGTCACCCACAACACCACCACCTAGTTCTGGAAACAGTGAAGAATTCTGGCAAGCACACTTGCAACTGGCAATGTCCCTATACACTCTCGAGTATCCAGAAGACTACTTCAGAGTAGTTGAAGGAACCACTGTGTGGACTCTGAATAAGGCATAGCTGAAACATGAAGTCTAGCATATACCCACTGTCCATCAAAAGACTGGAGCTAATCTCACCAGATACAATAGCCTGTCAACAAGGCTGCTTACTAACAAGTGACAGACCTGGGTTAAATTTCCTGTCACCAAGGTAATTTCAACTCACAGGAGTTGGGATATGTTCTTCTGCTATCTACCTCGCAATTACCATACGATCATCAAATCATTTAAGTTGCAAAAGACCTCTAAACTCATCAAGTCCAACTGTAAACCCAGCACTGCCAACTTCACCACTAAATCATGTTCTACATCTACACATCTACCAATGGAGGTGCTTTCCCACCTATGATAGCTTTCTGACTAGAATGGGCAAACTAGAGGTGCACTGGTTTTCCTCATTTTTCAAAACAGTTAGGCAGTTTACACTGTCAAGCCATTGCATAGAGAAAAAGACATGTTCGCTGAGCAGGCATCAGAAAGTTTATGTGTATCCTTGTCTCACACATGCTCGTCCATCTGGGCACCCTAATTTCTGGGAAGTTC